ATGTGCTGGGATCTGAACTGTCTTAGGAGAGGGGACAAGGAGGAGCGCCAAGCCAGGTATTGGTGCCTTTAGCCAAGAATCAGCTTAGGGCCTGGGCCTGGGGTTCCATTGATGGAGTGCTAGCAGGCACCAAGGCCTGGGCCGCATCCTTAGCACCGCCTAAAACTGGATGTGGCAGTGCATGCCTGTCATCCTCAGCCACATAGTGAGTTAGAGGCCAGCCTGGACTATAAGAAATCTTATCTCAAAAAAATAAAAATATCAGTTTATGGACCTAACCTGGTGGCACACACTCAGAAGTGGAGGCAGGAAGATGGCCATGATTTTGAGGCCAGCCTGAGCTACATAGTGAGACTATCTCAAAACAAAAAGTTTAGGGACCCACATCTATGGCCCCAGCTACTTAGGAAACTGAGACAGGTGGATCACTTGTGCCCATGAGTTTAAGACCAGCCTGGAGATGCAACACAGGGAGACCCTGTTGCAAACATGAAAGAAGTTCTTGTGCCCATGCATGCACAGCAGGCATGGGACAGTACCCCAGGATAGTGCCCTCAGGAGGGTACCCCAAGCTTACCTTGTGGAGACTAGGGGGTTTTTGTCTCTTTTTTTTGAGACAGGGTCTCACTATGTAGACCAATCTGACCTTAAATTCATAGCAAACCCAGAGATCCTCCTGCCTCTTCCTCTTCGATGCTGGGATCAGAGGCTGTACCACAAAGCCAGGCTGACATTATCCCTTTTGTTTGTTTTGCTTTTTGAGACATCTCAGTCGGTAGCCCAGGCTGGCCTTTGACTTGTGGCAGTCCTTCCTGCCTCCGTCTCCCTAGGCTCGGGTGACAAGCATGTGTCACCATGCTCCAGCCTTGACTTCTAGTTTTGTTGGGGTCTGCTTTTGATGAATTAAAGATTGATATCTAAGATTTTAATTTTATTACCTTAGCCTCCTGCTTGCCTGAATTTCAGCAACTCTGGCCTTGGACAGTCCCATCTGTCTGTGTCAGGTTTGCTTGTTTCTAGATGTGGGAAATAGGAAGTAACATCCTGCTGGGCACCTCTGTGGGGGGCCGGGGTTAGCTCTGGATTCTCACAGTTAGATCAGGGTAGCTACACTGCAGAGGCACAGGATGGGAGATCTAGGTGATGTGACTGCGGGCCTCTCACTGAACTTTACAATGAATTACACCTTTGAGCTTTCCATGATGGTGCTGTAATTTGTATATTAAGGTGTTTTTCCTTTTCCAGTGCGAGGTCCACCAGGAAGGGGAGAGGTCCGTCCAACCTTTTTATGGTTTATAAATTAATAAATGGAATATTTAATTTTGTTTAAAAAAAAAGAGCCCTGGCTGCTCTTGCAGAAGACCTGGGTTCAAGTCCCAGAACCCACATGGCAGCTAACCTTTAGTAACTTGTTTCAGGGGATCTGACACCCTCTCTGGCCTCCGTGGGCATTGCATGACGCAAGTGCACCTATGTACATGCAAGTCATACGTTCATACACATAAAATAAAAATGATGAATAAAATATTTTATAAAAAGAAATAGCCCTGTCACATTTTAATCTCCCTATTGCTGCCTCCAACTCACTTCCATCTCTCCCCATCTAAGAACTTGGGCCCAGGGCTCATTATTTAACTGTTTCCACGAACACACTAGGCAAGACACATTATTTTGAAAGATACTTTTAGGGCTTATATTTATTTCACCATTAAGAAAAGGAAAAATCCAATAAATGTTGAGTAGGATAATTCTCTCCCCCATTTCTTGTTCAAAGTAATTTGCATTGTCCTAAAAGAAGAATTTTTTAAAAAGCAGAATGGAGGGTTAGGGATTTAGCTCAGTGGTAGAGCGTTTACCTAGCAAGCACAAGGCCCTGGGTTCGGTCCTCAACTCCAGAAAAATAACAAAAAAAAAAAAAAAAGCAGAATGGAATTAAGATAATGTATTCAGATTTCCAAACTGACTTTTGACATAATAAGCAAGAAAGGCACATGCTGACCTCTTAACACCTCTACTGTCACTGCCACTGTGCCAGGAAAGATGAGACGGTCACACAGGCCAAGATGGAGAGGGCCATGGGGTGAGGATGGTATCTGATGTAGTGGAGTTCGGAGAGAGGCATCTGGATGCTCTCACAGTAAAGAGTAGTTTCTGTCTCAAGGGATGGCCAACAACCATCACCATCTGCCATCCACAAACCTCATGACTGTGATACATGAAAGGAACAATTTTTTTTAATCATCCAACGGTGAAACCAAGACACTTCTGGCTTGTTCTAATGAACACTGCTTAGCTGCACACCTACTTTGGGTTTGCAATTAATTGCATCTCCATCAGTGTCTGGCTTGGTGTCTTTTGTCTATCCTTTTTTTTTTTTTTTTTTTGAACCTATGTGAATTTCTACATTTAAAGTGAGTTTCTACTTTTTAAAAGTTTTATTAGAAAATTAGAAAATATATAGCAAAATGAAAAGTAGTTACCAAGAATAATAGTGGTATTATCACATTCAGCATGCCTAACAAGTCAGTCTAGTCGTGTCTAATTCCCACTGACTTTTAGTCGATCACTGCCTGAAAGAGGCAACACTTATTGGACTCTTATGGAACACAGAAATGATTCCTGCTATTTCAATACACAGAAAGTTGAGTATACACATCTACCACGAAAAAAAGGCAAAAACTTTTCAAATTGCCCTTTCTTGTTCTCAATTCTAAATCTAGTCTCATTGCATTAACCTTTTCTCTATAAACAATATCCTCACCTGAAACTTCATCTTTCATCATTATAACAATCCCAGTGATAGATCGCATTATATCAGTTTTACAATAAGACCTCATACAAACTTTCTACTTTGTGAAGTGTTCATTAATCATTACACAAAATGTTAACAGATGGTACATTTGAAAGTGCTATGGGAAAATAATTAAAATAAATCTTATTAAATAAACAAATCTCTATTAGACAACTCCTGTGAGGACTTAATATATTGCATATTATGAATTCAAGGGAGATATAGAGATAACCTTTCCAAGATCATGAGATCATGGGATCTTCATTTCTCTTGTGGAGCATGTGATAGAACTTGTGCCTCATGAAATATACCTTGGGACTGTTAGTGGTTAGGAAACAGCAAGATTTAGAGCAAAATGGGGATGGATGTGAATCTCAACTCTACTACTTGCTGTTTAAGCAAATATCCTTGTCCATCAGTTGAAGACATGATGCTTTCACTTGTTGATTCATTAGGTTGTATCATAGCAAATGGCAGTATCAGCTTCAGTGATTTACATGAGGATTCAAACATTTAAATATCTGCCAGTCATGATATATATTTAACAGTTATTAATATCATCATTATCTGTCAGGCTCCAAAAAGGTAGCAAGCTCTTTCCCATAGTAGAACTAGTTTTTTTCTAAGTCAATATGAAGGCTCTGACTAATGAAAGTGGTTTATCCAGCTGTAGTACTTGAGTAGCACATCTGCTCTGATCTATTGTGTCAGAGGATGTGTGTAGGAGTGTGTCTAAATGTAAGTTTCCACAGTCTATGTCTCTATTGAAATGTCATTCCATGTTTGGTAAAATTCACAAAGAATACTGCATGGACCTTCGAAATGTGGGCCAGGAACCAATTCTGAGAAAAGTATAGGGCCAGGCCCAGAAGCATTTAATCTGTATGAGCAAGCATTTGGGAGTCCGTCATTTGAAATGAATTGCTTGTGCTAATTGGCTAGTAAGTCATTTGGATTGCATGTTAGAGTCACAACTAAAGTCTATTGGACTGTCACATATTTTGCATCCTAAAATACAAACATAGTGGGTGAGCTACTAAGGAGCACTCCACTGAAGCAATTGCTGTATGATGTCTGATTCCCATGTGGCTGGAGTTTCTAGATTTAATACTATAATCTGGGAGATGTTAATTTGGAGCAATATGCATGATTAGGTTGTTTAATTGCATGTTATACAGGAAGCTGTGACCTTTCCAGTCTCACCCTGGAGGTGGCATTGTGCTTGGGAGGAAAAGAGGCAAATGTGTGTGTGGGATCTTGACAACCACGGTGCTCCATTGTATAATTATTTAAGTGTATTCAATCATTTTAAAAGCCATGGGAACAAGGCCCCAGATGTGAGTGGCCATCTACTGCATAAATAAAATTTTGCAATACTCCTTTTGCAGTGAAGAAGGATCCAGTAATGTTACCGGTCACTTGCAAACGTTGAGTATACAGTATCAACATGAACAGGCCTCTCGTTGTTTAGCCAGTTGGAAAAGCTATACAACATTAAAAATGTAAAACATGTTATTCTTGCCTGTCAATGTATCTGTTAAAAACATTGTAGTTTAGTGCCATAATCATTTCATGTGGCATCAAAGACTAAAACAGTAATACAAATCCTGCCATTTACAAAATGTTCCACATTTTGAAAACTGCTTCCACATTCTTTATGGCATTCGATTGCTTTGGGAGAGCCATAGGAGAGAAGACAGAGCAGGTATGTGGCATTTCCACCATTTTGCTATTGAAATGGCAAAGCAGAAATGGCACATGATCCACACTGGTAAAGTTAGAGGCTGGGCCGAAGCCTTTTGTTACCCAAGTGTCTTCCCACTCTGGGGCATGATGGAACCTAAGGATGAGACCTAAAGTTTTGAAACACACATGAATGTTGTCAGAAAGCTGGACTTGTTTCTCTGCACTATATACAGCCAGGATCCCTAAGAATAAAATTAAGTATCTCAGCGTCTTTTCTTTAAAAATTACCTGAGGATTAATTAGGCTAGATCTGCCTACATACAGTTGAACGCAGTAGAAGGGAAACAATTACCTAAATAACTACTCATTTTTACCTGAAATAGCCTAATAATTAAGGCAGAGATATGCTTCAAACCTAATGGGAGGGTATAAATGTCTTGATTATCTGTATGCCTTCATATTTAAATTTGATCACACATAAACTACAAAGCACTGATATTCTCTATCCCAAAACATAAATTACCTCCAAAACAGCATTCTCAGGGTCCTTGGCCATTGCTTTGTAAATGATAGTGCCTGGGACTGTATCTTCTGCAATATAAATCTCTGTAACTGACAGAAAATGTACAACAGATGTGATTTCATGAGTTTCATCAGAACCAAGTCCAAAACACCTCATTCAAGTCTGTATTTTAGATAAAACGTAAAGCATGGGGGATGAATATGATCAAAATATATTGTATACAAGTATGAAAATAAAGCTGATATATCCTTAATGTATGCTAATAATGTTCAATGAAACCTTAAGCATTGTATTTTCTCAGTACAAATGTTTTATATAGTAATTCCAATAAAGTTAGTTATAGCAATAATGATGAGAGACAACATTGTCTATCATAGGCATCACATAAACAAAGGAGTTTTAGAGTTTTAACATACCAATATTAAACAATTATTAATACTTACTGATTGATAAGCACTTACCTTTGGCTATTTTCTCATTTCCATTTTACTAAGGTTTAAAGATTAATAGCAGGTACAAGGCTCTATGGTTAACATATCAATACTGTTAGATCATTTTTAATATTTGTTTTCTCCTTAAATTTTCCCTATTACCATTGGTCTTGGAGGAATACTCGAGATTAAAACCAGGGCCTCACACATGCTAAGCACATGCTCTGCCATTGAGCCACATGCTCAGCTGCTGTATGTTTTAAGACAGTAGTAGTAACTATAAGGTTGAAAACTTGTTAGTCTTCAAAGGAATCGAAATTACTGGGAAGTGCGAGACTTGAGTGCCAGAAAAGAACAGCCACACTTACTGCTGCACCATTTTGCTAAGAAAGCAGTATGTCTGGATATCAGGGGAATTCCTGCTAGCCTGCTTGGGCCACAGCATAGCCACATGGACTTCCAAGATGCAGCGCTCATGGATTCTCACAAGTACTCTGGCACCTGGCTCACAGTTTCAGAAGTCAGAAGAGCATGATTTAATCTTGACTCCGCCCAGGACTTCATTTGATGTTTAGGAAAGGGAAAGAAGAGAAACTAACACTGAGCACTGATTGAGTGCCTCACATTATGCTTGGCATTTTAAAACACCAGAAGCATCAAGGCAGAATTGACATCTCTGTTTAATCAATGAGTATATTAGTTATTCTTCTCCTTGCTGTGGCTAGACACCTGGCAACAAGCAACTTGAGGGAGGATGGATTTGTCTGGACTGATGGTTCAAGGGAATCTAGTCCATCATGTGAAGAAGGCTCCATAAGAGTGGAAATACACAGCTAGAACTCTTACCACCTCACTTCCCCATGCAACAGGAAACAGAGAGTGGATGGGGGTGGGGCTGCCCTATAATCTTAAGGCCCACTCTAGAGTGACCTATGACCTCCAGTGAAGTTCCACCCACCCCAAAGATTCCACAACCTCCCAAGACAGTGCCACCAGCTAGGGACCACTGACGAAACACGAGCCTGTGGAGGACATTTTCCATCTAAGACATAACAATGCCGAGGCTAAGGTTTACACGAGACAAGTAATTTCTACCCAGTTAGTGGCCACACCAACATCTGAACGACCTTACGTTTATATTTATATTAGACAATATCGATTTTCTACATAGAGGACTTAAATATTTGATTCATAAAATGGGACAGAAGTGAGAAAGAGAGTCAACAGTGAGAGACAGAGACATCTACACAGTGAACAAGAGAGAGCAAGGAACAAAGGGACATAAAGCACCTAATGCAATGACTAGGCACATTGTTAATTCAATAATCAGACAAATAAGATATCGATTTTAACATACTGTGATCCACAAGTAAGTGGATAGTTCTCAACACTGAGCAAGTTACTTCACCGAAGTCTATTATCCATGCAATGGAGCTAAGGGATAGTAGAACTTACCACCAGTGCTTTGAATATTAAACAAAGCAATCCACTTAAAGCTTTCAAACAGTGCCTGTATACAGTTAGGGTTCAGTACATGTCAGCTGTTTACCACTATTGTTATTTAAAATGATCTTAACCTTCATTTATTATTTTTAATATGTGTGTATGTGACATGATGTGTGTGTGTGTGTGTGTGCGTGTGTGTGTTAGTGCAAGCATGCGCATGCCAAAGCAGGTATGTGGATGTCAGAGGACAACTCTCAGGAGTCAGTTGTCTCCTATGGGAGTTGCGGGGATAGAGCTCAGGTTGCCAGGCTTGCACGGAAAGCGCATTTACCAGCTGAGCCATTACACCAGCCCAACTGTTGCTATTTAGCATTCTCCGTTAGCCTTATACCAAGGGTATCATGGAAGCATTTAAGACACCAGGCACAGTACCTACATCTATGTCCACAGGGCTTTCTTCCCCCCAAGATCACAGCCTTGGTACCTTGGTCTCTCTGGGCAAGGGACCCAGTGAAGGTAGGCGGCTCATTCACATCTGCAATTTGGACCAAAATACTCTGTGATGCTGCTGCTCCATGGTCGTCTTTGACATAAATTGTCAAGGAGTAGAGGGCTACCGCCTCAAAGTCCAGCTTGGGTACTCCAGTAATGAATAACTAAAATGTTAAAAAGAGCATAATAATGGTAATACTGGAGGAACAGATGGTTGACCTCAGGGACAAAGCAAAGGAGGAAGTGAACGCTAAACAAACAACATGACATACTGTACCTCTTACTGCACCGTAGCAGACGCAGACCATCATTTGGCTCTATTTGTACATATATGGATGCTGTGAAATTCTCTCAAAACTAAACTGCTTCTAAAGATACCTAGAGCTAGTCTATGATGCTCTATTTTGGTTTGAGTTTGGTCTTTTTGTATATGTGTGTTAGTTAGCAGTTAGTTAGTTGTTAGTTGAGACAAGGTGTCATACTTCAGCACAGGCAGACCTAGAACTCAATTTATAGAGCAAGTGAACCTCAAACCCATGGCAATTCTTCCTTGGGCTTCCAAGTGCTACGATTCCAGCTGTGAGCCACCACACACCTGATGTTCGGTCTACTTGAGACAGGGCCTCTCCCCGTGTAGTTAAGGCTGGCTTCAAAGTCATAATCCTGCCTCTTCAGTCTCCTGAGTTCTGGGACTAAATGCATGTACCTTCACATCTAGTGAGGAAATAATTTTGATAATGTGCCCCACACCGCTTGTGTTCTTTTTAAAAAATATTTTATTATTTTTATGTGTATGACTGTATCGCCTGCATGTATGTAAGGCACTCATGTCATGCAATGCCTGCGGAGGTCGGAAGAGGGTGTCAGATTCCCCAGAACTGGAGTTACGCATGGTTGTTAGCCACCATGTGGGTGCTGAGACTCAAACCTGGGTCCTCTGCAACAGTAATCCAGTGCTCTTAACAGCTGAGCCATCTCTCCAACCTGTAGCACTTTGCATACGTTATCTCACAGAATCTTTTTAGTGGCTCAACAGAGATGATATTCTTATTGTTAATCTCATTTTTCAGAAAAGAAAACGGAAGCATAGACAGTCAAGTAATTCACCCAAGTTCATGTTGCTGGTAAGCAGAAGAGGTGCAGTGGAAAGTAGGTTCGTCAAGTTTACTTCACAGTTATAACAACAGTAACAGCGATAATAGGCAAGACTACTGGAACTTCGGCTACTGTTTTGCTACAGTTAGGCTTATGACAAAAGTTTACTGCAGAACAAGTATGAGATAGTAGTTTATACAAAAGTTGCACACAAATTTAAAGTCTGACAATCCCAAGGATTGGTCGGGGTGTTCCAGATCCCATTACAGACACACTCACGCGCGCACACACACACACACACCGTTTGTCCCTCTAGAATCTGTTCTCACAGCAGATGGAATGATCCTTTTAAAATGTAAAGTAAATTGTGTCTTTTCCCTGCCAAACGTTGCTGTTTCTTAGGTCTCCGATGCACTCCTCTTTCTTATGTTCATGTCCTATGCCATGTGACTCCAGTCCTTCTACTGAAGGAGGAGTGTCTCTTTCCATCCCATGGCTTTCACACGTGTCTCAATTTAGCCAATAGGCTATGAGTAGACATGTACGTATGGGCTTAAATTTATCCTCTTACCCAAAGAGGCATGTGTTCCTCCTAGCCACTGTCCTAAGAGACTTGAGGGACACAAGAGAAAAACCACATCCTGGAGTCAAACCAGGCCAGGACAGCTCAGCCCTGTTGCTCTGGGGACTTTATTACATCAGTATCAAAAGACGTATATTCATACTGAACCATCTCCCTTGTAGATCTTGTAGATCTCATGGGACAATGCAGAAGGACCAGGTGAATGTTATTCAGGCAGTAAATTTGTACTATGTTTGAGGAACCCTGATCTTAAGGAACCCAGATCTCTTACAATGAGCAATTAGCTGCCTACACTTCATCCCATTGTGAGAAATAGCTTTGTGGTACTTAGATAGTAAAGAGAACTTCCTAACATAGCCATCAAGCCCCACAAGCAAGGTCCTTCATTTCCCTTTCATCCAGATCTCTCACCACATTCCCTGTTCATCTCTGGTCATATTGAGTCCTCAGCCCCTTCTCCTTGCCAAACTCCTTGTTTCTACAAGGGATGTAGAATCCATTGAATCCCCATCCATCCTGCAGTCTGCCTTTCACACTAATTCCTTCTCAGGGACCCCTGACTATGTCATATGCCCTTGTTTGGTGCTCTTATATATCTGAGAACTTGCATTTCATTGCTTAGATAATATTTAAAAGTTTATGCTTATGTCTGTTCATTTAATTAATATGTATCCCTGTGAACCAGTAGGTGGCACAAGAGCCAGGCATTGCCTTGCATCTGCCTAGATTCTCAATAAATATCTGTAAAAATGAATGCATCTTGCTGTTCCTAGGATTTTGAGAGTATTTGACAAATCATAGGGTACCAGAGTGGAAGTTAGTAACATGCAGAAGAGCTGGGCATGCTGGTGCACACCTCTAATCCCAGAACTTGAAAGGCTAAGAAAGTCAAGAGTTCAAGGTCAACCTAGGCTATATAATCTCAAAAAGGTAACACCACACACACACACACACACACACACACACTAGAAGTGAGGGAGAGAAGACACACACACACACACACACACACACACACACACACACACACACTAGAAGTGAGGGAGAGAAGATATACTTACATCCCACAGATGTGAGGATCTTCGAGACAGCATGAATGGGTGCACGGCTGGGCTGGCATTAAGAATGACAGGATCTCCAACCAGAGAAGTGTGAGGTGAGACAGACACAGTGACTGTGGCAGCCCGTGTGTGCTCAGAGGCATTTTCTAGGAGAGGGCTGGCATTCTCAATGGCTACATTTGGAGCAGCTAGAACATCTTAGAGAAAATGTAAAATTATAGTTTATAAAGACTTCTTCAAGGATTCCCAACCTCTTTCACTTTTGAAGCCACAAAGGAAAAGTATAGTACTTATTTCATTTTCTCTTGGGATTAAGAATCAGTTGAGTTGGCTTGGTAGGGTTGATGAGGACCTGAGACCTTGTGCTGTTCAAAGCAACTACAGGGACACTAGCAGAAGATACAAGACACTCCAGATCAGAGAACAAGGATGCTATCACTTCCAGCACAGCAGCTCCTGCTTCGTGGTCACACCCCTTCCCAGATGCCTTAAGTCTTCTGAGGGCAACACATAGGGGCCCAGGGCCATTCTGCACATCTTCTGGGTTTGCATTTATATCACCCTTGAAGATCCCTGTACTTACAAAACCCAAACCTTTTTAAAAATTATTTTACTTCCTTTATTTTTATTTTATGTGTATGAGTGTTTTGCTGCATATAAGTGCACCCATGTGTACAATGCCCTCAGAGGCCAGAAGAGGGCATCAAATGCCCTGGAACTGGAGCTAAGGACAGTTGTTAGCTGTCATATGGATGCTGGGAACCGAACATGGGTTCACTGCAAGAGTAGCCAGTACTGTTAACCAATGAGTCATCTCTCCAGCCCGCCCCCCAAACCTTTTTAAATGAAGAGAAAGCCTCCTGACCTTTGCCCTGGATAGAGAAAATAACTTTATAGTAGGTGGTAAATGTATTATGCTTTGTCCTAGAGGATATAGCATCTCTATTAGTACTTAAACATTCTTGAAAAAAAAAAAATCATCAGGCATAGAGTTGCCAGTACCTCAACTCAAGGAGTGTGTGCTGAAGAGCCAGGTTCCCATGGAAAACTGTCTCCCAATAAATATTGGTCTTTTTTATTTTTATTGTTTTTACTTTTTTGTTGTTTGCTTGTTTGTATCAAATAGCTTTACATATGTGTGACACATGTCTGGTACCTGTCCCATCCCCTCCACGCTTACTCTGTATATGGAAGGCCGCCCATTGAGAACATCTGCTAGTCTGCCTCACAACAACTTGACCTGAACAGAGGACAAACCAGAGTGCCAGAGACTAACTGCTCCTTGAAGCATCCCACAGCCAGTGCTCAACAAAGCCATACAGTTAAATGCCTCAGCTTCCTCACCCTCAGTCTGGGTACCCCTGAGACACATTTGTATGTTAGAGTCTTGAGCTTCCCAGTGGAACTGAGCTCTGGCTGCACCCAGTGCTCCATGAGTGACCCTTTGCCTGTCACGCCCACACATTACATTGCTTTCTTATTCCTCTGCTGATGCTTCCTGGCCTCTAATAAACCACTCTTTTTTAAAAAATAGAATACCTCTTATTTATTCTTTGACAATTTCATCCATGTAATGTATCTTGAGCCTACTCTGCCTAACTCCCACCCTCAGTGCCCCTAGAACATCCAACACACACACACACACACACACACACACACACACACACCATGCAGTAAAAGATAGGAGGTAAAGGAAGATAGCTTCATTTAGAGGTCTGGAGGTGTGATGATACTATTTTCCCCACATACATCCCATAGACGTGTTAGGATCTATAAGACTTTATTTTGTCACTCACTGAGTCCAATTAGTGCCACCTATTGGAATGTGGCCTGATCTTATTAGCTTGATCCTGTTGGGGTTGTATAAATCACTCTTGAACCACTGTCTTAGGGTCAATATCCAGAAGAACCCGAACTACAGCAGTGTGGTGTAACACACCCTTTTTGCAATGTGCAAAAAGATGTAGCAAGTGTTAGAATGGCCATTTCTAGTAAGGGAAGAGCAGCAGGGAAATCAGACAGCTGTCAGTTGGAGTTACACTGAAGCTTGGAAAGGCCTCTGGTGCTGGCAGATCTGCCTCCTGCTTACTTCTCTGGCCTCACCTCTGCACACTGTTCACACACACACACTCTGTTCCAACTGTCCTCCCTTCCATTTCTCTGACTTGATTATATTGTTTATCAAGCCCCTTTCATTATCCAAAATTGCATCTAGTTCCTTCTGAAAGCCTTCTCTTACCTGCAGACTGACTTAGATGCTCTCTCCCAGGATTTCCCTTCCTCAGTCATTTAACACATAAATGGCACTTGTATGGCTCCCAGAGGAATTATAAACTTCAACTGAAATGAATGTGTTTATTTCAATCACTGAATAAGAATACTTATCAGAACCTCCCAGAACTTGAAGGTAAGACCCTATTGCTGAAGACAGGACATACTTCAGACACAGGACTTGGAGCAATGGAGCTGGAGCTGACCTGGAAGCCTCCTCCCTGAAGACTAGCTCTTGTAGTTCAGGAGATCACTATGCAAGTTGCTAAGGGAAAAAATCAATCAACGGTCCAATCCTAGCTTTAGGGTCTAATAACCACAACAATGACCAGCACACAAACTATAGTGGTGCAGCAGTGGCACCTTTATCTTGGGGTAATCAACAGCTATCTAAGCAGACTTAAAGCCCTCTCAAGGGGAAGGAACTCGTGTGGCAGTGTAAATACAGCCAAATACACGTGGCTGGAGAGGTCATAGATCTTAGAGAAAACCCCAAGGCTGTCACATCCCTAGACAAACATAATTTCTTACTATATGCTAAATATGGATCCTTATATTTATAAGTATACCAATCACCATTCATCAAAAAACCTTCTTTTACAACAGACAGAATGTGGTACAGAGTTCTACAACTGGTCACACACAGAGAATAAGAGTCTGTGAGATGCTCAACCTTAAGTAACACATCTACAATGGAACCTCTACACCTAAGGCCCATGGAACATAGTGGAACAAGTGGTAAAGAGAATACTAACGCATCTCTCAACTCTCATCAGCGAAGCTTCCTCGTGTAACAGAGGGCAATGACCACAGAAAGCCACAATTGGCCAAAGTATAGAGAAGAAGAGACTGCAGAGTATGTATCCTGGATAGGACTCCTATATGAAACCTCACCCACCCAGGGCTCAGGGACCATTGCAGAAGAAGGGGCAGAAGTATTGTAAGAGCCAGGGTTAGTGCATGATTATCAGGAAACAGAGTCTTACAGGCTCCTGGGACCTTGCTCATATGAACGACAGCAATGGTGAGAGCATGCACAATACCCATGCAAACTCCATCAAATAAAAACCAACATAGAACTGTGGAAATGGACAAGAGGTCCCAACTTTAACTGAAGAATTATTGGCAACTGCTGGATGAGGGAGAGCTGATCTTCTTCAAGGGAATGACACTAGATGAGTTGAACAGGCTCCAGTGGATGAACTCACCCCAAGAGAGAGCTGGGTACACAAACTTGACTTGATAGGCCTTAATATACATAATAGAATGCATGATATTCTGTGAGGGCACTATGAGGGGGCTTCAGACAGGGGAGGTCTAAATATGAATAAAATAGATTGTATGAAATTCACAAAAATCAATGACAATATATATTGAAAAATGATATATGCATACATACACCCCCAAAATCTGAGATTTAGAAAAAGAAAAGAAACTTTTATGTACAAAGTCTTCATTGAACCTCAGAACCCTTGTGCAGATTAATGATGCTGAGAAATCATGCAATAAAGTTTTATTATTTTGTTGAAAAAAATATCTATAATATATTTTGTAAATGAATATGAGTATATGATAAATGAGTTTGAAATAGAGGCACGATTTTTCTTTTGGACAGGAGGAAGTAGAGGCACAGAAATGCAACGGCCATATGTCATACAGCCAACCAATGGCAAGCCAGGATTTGAACCCCCATCTATACACCACGTGCTTAAATGATTGAGATAATTTCATGAATCAAAGTAAATTTGAGGGGAGTAAGAAATGGGAAAATCAAAAGTCCTCAGAAGGTCAAAGTTGGGTAAGCTGCCTACCTAAGTGATAGCAACAGGCCTGAGGGTGAGGAGGGACACGATGAAGAGGCACTTTTGAATCTCACACACACCTTGGCTCTGGTCCCAATTATTCCTCTTACTGGCCATATGACCACTTGCACAAGCAACTCATCCTTTCTAAAGTTGGAAGCCAACTGTCACTTGATAAGAAGTATAAGAAGTGTCTTTGTCTGAAACTTGTGGTGATACAGTCACCATTATTTAAGAGAGAAGCTACTGGGTTATCTGCCATTATTCTTAATATAGATTTGCCATTCATTGTCATAATAAATGTAGGGTTTCTTGTTACAACAACTCATTATACATTTTACTAGACACAGTATGTGAAAGGTGGGTGAAAATAGCTCTCTAAATAACCTTGTTCCCTTCGAGCACTGTCTACCCTGCAGTGTTGAGGAATTACTCAGCACTCAGCATCACAATGCGTTCATCTCACTGAACTGGCCTGCTTTGGTTCTACTTTTCTCCATTTCCTTGTTTTCTCTTTCAAGTGTGTGCTTTCTGCTCCCCTTTATTTCAACTGACTTTTGTCTTTAGCTAAGGTAGACTCCGACTAGATTCTCAGAACCTCTTTGGAAAAGACAAGAGTAAGATCACACCCTGAAAACAAGTTGTCTCTCCACCCTCAGGACATTAAAAATGACCATTTTAATCTGAGTACTGAGGAAGACCAGGCATCATGGGCCTTACGAATGACACCAGCATGGCCAGGGCCTCCCGGTGTTCTTGTCCCTACTCCCTCTGCTCTGGCCACATGGGTCTCCCTGTTCCTCACACATGCCAAGCAGGTCCGAAATGCACCCTTCCAGGATAGCCCCAACCCACTCAACTCCTTTACATCTCTAATAGTGTCACCGTACCAGAGAGGTCTCAGGACAAATAGCACCATTTTCTACACCTGTGAGCATTTTCTTTTAAAACCTCATGCACTGTTTGTTCATTTTCTATTTCTCCTCCTACATAAAATGCAAGTTTCGGGAAATTGGGACTTTTTACTCCTTTGTTTCCTGTTGTATCCCATTTCAAAAACACAGTAGGTATTTAATATGTGTTGGCTGAATGAATACATGAATAAATAAAATGTTTTTTGTGCTAATTATGTCGACATTTTGCGGCATGGAATATATTTGACAAGTCATTTCATTGGTTCAGATTTTCAAATTCAGTTCTGCAGCTTAGGCTGTGTCACTAGTGGCTTATTTCTGCAACTAACAATGCCTGTTGCCATTGCATTGAATAATTCATTGATTTTAACTTTTTCTCCAATTTATTATCACCCTATAATGAGAAGAACTTGGTTTCACAGTAAAACTGAAAAACAGCTCAGTTCCTTGAACATAGAAAAATCTCCAGAAAAGAGACTAGTAATTCCAGAGCAAACTTTCTATGCCTACCTGCCTATGAGTACAGATAGATTTTTAAAAGAGATGTTCTTGAGTTCATACTTTTAGGACACCCTGTCTTCATCCCATAGTACATTTTTTAACTGTCTGTCAGAGTACCTTGCTCTGACTCCTTTCACAGCTACGATTGTAGTGCATGATGGCCCTCTAGCTCTGGCTTTCACAAACAAGCCCCATATTTCCTTCTACTGCTGTGTAGTTCTGCAGGAGAGCCTTCTAGAGGTGCAAGTTTGGGTCTAAGGCTCCAGATTTTAGATGCTAGTAGAAACGGTCAGTTGCCTCAAAAAGAATTTGCCCTATTCCCATTCATAGCAACTGCATCTGTGAAAAGATTTCGACTGGAGTGTAGATTTCCCAATGAGGTACAACCATGGAGCGCTTGACTTCAGAAGACCAACGTAGAAAAAGTAGAAGAGCAAGTAAAAAGGAGCCAAGTGGAAGACTATCAGATAAGTATTTCAAAGTTGTAGGAGCCCTAAGTTAGAGATACTAACCTGAGGCAGCAAACAACACAAAGAACAAACATGAAGAAGACATGGGTGACCTGCAGGGCTCTGGTCTCCTCAGAAACACTCTGTTCCAGTCCCTGTGCTGGCCAACTTCTAGGACATTCACTGTCTTGGTGAGGAAACTTCTTATGAGAAAACTGTCTCTAGGCACCGCGTGCATACTTTCCTGTAACACATTCTTGTTGAGAAATCTGTAAAGTGACACCTTTTCTCTACGGGGACAACATTCCAGCAAGGGGATTTACTTAAGCCAGGTGTAAAAGCCTCTGATTCAGATCCTTAAATCCTGGTGCACCCAGGGGAAGCCGGCATTAGTTGAGGCTCTTCAGGAAACAAATTTGCTAAGCTTATTCATTTTCAAAAGATGTCATTCAATAGTGACCCCGCTCCCCATCGTCCAGCCTGCCTTTACATGTTCATCACACCCAGGCTTAGAGAGAAGAAGCAGAATCTCAGTTTACCAAATTTGCAGAGGGCTTACAAATTGCTAAGCAGATCAGGTTAGAGATAAGAAGCAAAAACAATCTGAAAGTAGCTAAGAGCTCTCTGAATGTTAAGAAGTTTATATTGAAACATGAGAGGGTGGGACCAGGTTTAAGACCACTGATGGCAAAGATCTGGTGGCGTGAAGAGTTAACACAAAATATCTAAGAAAAGAAAACCTCAACAGGCAGAGAAAACTGATGACTTCCAAGATGACTATAGGCTGTGCATCATATCTTTATGCCCATAAAGCTTAAAAATTTATGGTTCAATAACATTTGATTGGCTCAACACTCTACATCTCGCCAGAGGGCCCACCCCTCCCTCTTCATCCCACAGCTTCTCACGGATCCTTGCTTGTCTCCTGTGGAGATGCATGTCTGCAATCTCTGATTCAGAGATTTCAATCAATTGCTGTCTCCATATGAGTCAACTGTTGTTATGGTTACTGAGATAGGATTATGCAATGTCATATGTGTTCAACAGAAAGGTCATGTTGAGAACAAGGAAAGCTGCATGAACTACCCTTTGACCTGCTCTAGCTGGCTCGTTGGCTTTTCAGAAAGACATTAATAAACATTCAAGAAATACTCACATGGGGGTGGTTCCAAGCCACATTCTGAGAGGGATGTTGAAAAGAAAAGTAGATTTATGAGGAGTTCTTTGTTGCTCTTGTCTCTAGCTCTGCTGAGCTGGTTGAAGCACAGTACTCTGACCCTGGACTACTGTGACTCCTAACCTCATACCTTCTCCCTTCTTCTCCCTGACTCACATTCACTTCATCGCGTTTCCTGAGTGTTCTCTGACTCCGCATACTTGTCAGTAGACCTCGCCCCCCTCCCCCATCTCCTAACTGGACTAAGTTCCTACCTAATGACTTTTCACATGCACCTTTCCCTCTTCTGTCTTCTGAGATATTTTTAAGACATAAGCATAGTGCTTTCCCTTGTCCCACATTCCTGCCACTCTGGCCTTTCTGCCTTCAAATGTGCCTAGTTCACATCCACCTTCTAACTTTTGCTTAAGTGTTTTCCACTCTTTCAATTCCTCTCCCCAGTTTTAGTATAGTTTCTCTCTTTTTCAACGTGAAATGTCTCATCTCAAATGTCACCTCTCTGTACGAGGTCTTCCGTGGTCCCTTGATAACTTCTGATCACAGCTTTCTAGTTTTCTTCACAGCATTATTTCTTGTCTCCTGATAAACGTGCTAACATGTGGGTTCCTCTGCTAGAATTGTAAATCCTACACAGGGATTATCTTTTCTTTCCAGATGAACCCCAATGACCAGAATAAGTATGTATGGACTAGTTTCTTACAAACTCTCAGTAGTTTCCCCCTTGCTCTGAGTATCAAGACTGATACCACTTTAAGTTGGCCTGTTTGCTATTCAGCAGATTTAACACAGCTTATTCCTCCAGTTCATCATCACATCCAATCATCCTGGCTCTCTGATACAGTCTCAAAGACCATTTCCATCTCTTTAAAAATTGCTTTTCATCTGCCTGGAGTGCAAAGTCTGTCACCCAACTGACTCCTTACTCAGCTCTTAGGCCCAGTGAACTCATCAGCAGAAGGCTTTCCTGATGTTCCCATCCTTGCCGTTTTTTCCTACCACCCCTTTTATTTGCTTCATAACATTTACCACATGCTGAAATTAAGTTTTTTTGCTGCACTTGTTATCAGGCTCCTCCACAGCACATTCAGTTATCTGAGATCAGAGATCATTTGTGTGGTGTTCACTACTGTGCCCCTGGTGTCCAGGGCAGTGCCCAGCAACCACTAGGCATTCAAATATTTGTTGAAAAACTGAAAGGTAGACTCAACCCTGGGGGGAGGGTGATAATCAGTGATTATTCCTATTTCTAAAATGATCAAACTGAGATTCAAAGACTTTTTTCCCCTTGCCTAAGAAGGACCACAGTTAGGACCTAAATCCGCCAGAGTTCAAAATTGGCATTTGTATATGCACTGATTCTTTCCCCCCTGGCCAGTTCTTCTAACCCCTATCACATGCTTCAGGATTCTTCTGTGACTTACCAGAAGCCACAATCAAAAATATTTCAGCCTAATACACATATATACATATTTATACAAAAATATATATATTTATATATATATATATTCAGACTTGCACACACAGAGACATATGCACATACAAACACACACTTACATAAATAAAAATGGCCCCTTCCTAAGATAAAATTGGTCACAGCCATCCACTTATTTGACAGAATACAACAGAATTAAGACAGCATCACCAATCATTGTGTGAAAAATACTGGCCTCTGGTCAAAGAAATTGCTCCTTTGTGTATCTTTTCATTCTAACACCTAAGATTCAAGCTGATGAGGAAAAACAGACCTTGAAAGCGCTCAAGCCCATGTGACAAGAGCATCTCAGTTATACTGTAGTTCAGGCCCCAAAAACATGGGGCAGAGGGTCATATGCATCCACTCTCCTGGCATGCTCCCTAAAAACCCTGGGTTCCATCGCTCGCTCGTTAACGCCGCTTCTTAACGCCTCAGTGTTACATGTGTTATTCTTGGCTGTTTTTTCTTAAGTGTAGGGATTGCCTCTAAAGTCTCATGCATGCTAAGCATGTGCTCAATTCCTACATCACATTCCCAGCGTCTTGCTCATTTTAAAGCTCCTTTCCCAAGTATTCAAGCATTCAAAACGCTGTGGATCAGAATGATCAGCATCACCTGGGAATTTGTTAGACATGTAAATTATTGGGTCCCATCCCAAACATACTGTATTAAAATCTGCATTTTAAGAAGATCCCAACTATGCACGTGAGTAATCTGGAATTATTAATGAATACAAACAGAAAGAAGAGCAATTTTTTTAGATAAATAATTTTTTGAGAATTACATACATGCATATAAGGTGTTTTGATCAAATCCATGCCTACTCCCTCCCCTCCAACTCCTCCCATATCGCCCCATCACTTTTTTCTGATAACTTCATGTACTCTTTCTTCTTCTTTGATTTATTTTTTTTAATGGGGCTTTTGGCCACTCTAACATTCCCCCTTCTGAAGAGGTAACCCTAAAATCTTATAAAGATTAGATAAAAACTCCCAAATATTTCGACATTTTTGGCCTTTGGAATGGAGTAGGTTGCTAAAAGGCCCAAGAACATTTTGACTTTTAGCCAAGAAGCTGGTTTTCTTTTTACCCTAACTGCCTAGCCAATTCTTACCTCCTAGTCTTATCACACCATCTTCTGAAGAGGTTACTGAGCTTGCTGATAGGGAATCAGCATGCTGGCCACTCTGGCTTCTTCCATGCTGAACAGGGACACAGGGTGAGGCAACTGAAGCACCCCTTCAGTGGGTCTATCTGAAAGACTCCCAAATTGCATGACTCATATCTCTAAGGGGAAAAGAACATCGTTGATCATGAATAGATGTGAAGAAGTAAAGGCAAGAGTAATTAGCATTACAAGTTATAGACGGAGCTAGAAAAAAGTCAGAACAGGGCAACATTTAAATGTTCATGTGAGAGTCCATTGGATTTCTTGACAAGGGCTTCCAAAAGCATCCCTCTATTGGGTTTCTCCTTATCTTATATCTGAGCAGCACTTTCTTGTTAAGAACAAAATCATCAATGAGAAATAATTGTCCAAATAACTTTTTATATAGACTTAAGCCTAATGTCTGGGAAGTGTAATCCCTTGAACACTAAAAGAAGTATACTGATGGCTTTACTCTTTGGTTATACTTTCCTTTTGGGTGTTTAAGACCATACAGTTGGCCAAAATAAATCAATTTATTGTTACGCTTAAGGTCATTTGAGGATTGCTTCCTCAAGGGTCACGTGGCCTTGGGAGGAGCTCCTAGTTCCTTTATTTTACCAGTTCCATCTATGTGAAGATAAATCAAAGGTCTTGCTTGACCGTGGCTGGCTTCACTTTGAAGCATGTAGGAAATGGTTCCTCTGAGGTGACCCTCCTCTTTGTAGACTGGACACTGGCTCAAGTCCATCTCGTGGGGTCTCCATGGCCTCCCTGAACAAGAGGCCTGGTGACTCACCACAGTTACAGGACATTTTGAGAGATGTGCCATAGTCCCCTGGAACTTAGTCGACCTTGGAGGGCAAGGGGCAAAAATTGTCTGCAGAGTGATTCTTATATCCCTCAGAGTATCTTTCCAAAGGAGACTTCTTTTTCAAACGTCCAGTTATGTGGAAATCAGTAATGTCTTAGGGCCAGTAAGTGATGAGACTAAACCCTAGTGTCTGCTGCCACCTTGTGGTAAGAGTCTCACTATGAAGGATTTGCTGTTATCCATGAAATAAATGCGGAAGTAATGGGCTAGGTGGCTAGGTCCTGAACATTTTTTACATTTAATGGAAGTAATGGGCTAGGTGGCTAGGTCCTGAACATTTTTTACATTTAATGGAAGTAATGGGCTAGATGGCTAGGTCCTGAACATTTTTTTATGCTTTAGAAAAACCTCTACAGAAATTCAAGATATAATGAAATAGCCCCTCTAGTGAATATTGAGACAGCCGAGCAGCTGCTTGATATGAACCTATGGGACAGAGCATTCACTAGCTCTAGTAGAAAGATCTAGTAGAAAAGTCCAACCTTTAGATTTCTTTCCCTTTTGGAATTCATACATGAATATGTAAGTGTGATTATCAACTAGGGTGTGAGTTTTCTTATTGCCAGTCCAAATGGTTAGACAATCAAGCTATCGTTTCTGAATTTCCTTGTCTGAGAATCTCTGAAGTATTTCACAGCGTGTTGTGGAATTTCCCACACTTCTGTCACATGCATCATTAGAGACCTCTCTGAAGTAAAAACCACAAATGATGTCTCTGACACCTGGAAGACAATAAGCAGGAGATTCCAATTTTTCCTCGTATTTTTCCCAAAACATTCCAAGCTTTGCCAGCACTCTCAGTCACTGGATGATTTTGCTTTGAAGTTTTTGAGCACCAGAGCTAAAGAAATCCAAAACAGTTCCCAAAGGTGAAGCTGACAGCAATGGACCACACTCGGCCCTTTAGGCCAGAATCCCTGAAGGTCGCCTACGGGAAAGTTGGCCAGTACCAAAGGTTCCAGCAACCCAGAAAGAAAAATGGCTCATTCAAAAGGAAGGGGATTGAAAGGTAGGTAACAGGGACTTGTTTCCTTTCCCACTGATATTTGGGGAGTTTTTCCTTAAACAAAATTCATTGTAATAATTAGAGAAAGTGATGCCTCTTTTTAAACATTGCATTTTAAAATCTGGACTGTATGTGGACCAGGGAGGGGGATCACAGAGCCACAGAAGTCACCTTTGACGATTAGGAACATTTTCGTTTTAACGGGGAAAAAGTTTTACTTTCCACCGGAATTTGAGTTTTAATGTATTGTAGGAGATTAATGTAAGTAATGAGTTGACATTTTGAGCATCAGAATTTTAGTCTTCTCACATCTCATGAAAATGCAATTATCTTCATAATTCACTAGTATATTCAACATAAATCCACAATCAATGCTTTCTGTTCCCTGTCAAAACAAGTTTGATTACTGAAATACGTCCTAATCAGATTTCATCAGTAAACACTCTTCAATGAAACATCAGAATAACTTTAGACCTGGTGTTTCTTGCAAAACCATAAACACAGACATACAGTACTAAAACACACTACATTTTAACTTTGAAATCCAGTTTAGTGATTTAATTTCCAATGTACTTGGGCATCTTTCATAGCAGACTCAAAGCCATAAGCCAAAGATACACAAATGGGGTGTTTATCCGAGTGCCGGAGTGTTAAAGACCAAACTTTTAAACTTTCATGGATAAAGTGAAATATTACAGAGAATTCAGCTTTCAATAAAAAACAAAGGTTTAAGGTGGAAGCAATATACAAGTAAATAAATTAACCACCAACCAAAAAAAATATAAGAAGGGAAAATTTATTTCTGTAACAGAAATCACAGGAGTTGGCTTCCTAAGTCTGAAACAAATCACCTTTTCTAATTATGCTTCATATAAATCAGAGTTGGAGGTGACGACAGGAGACACGCTTTAGAGAATTAGAAACTGAATAAGAGTGGTTTTGTTGTGTTGCATTTTATCTTGCTGTCTTTTCTAGACAGTTTCTCTCGGGCTGGCTCTGCATTCACAGTCCTCCTGTCTTAGTCTCCTGGGTGCTAAGTTACAGATTTGTGCTACCACCGCCAGCTTAGAGCCAAGATTTTTTTAAAAATATTTTATTATTTTTATTTTATGTGTATGCGTGTATTGCCTGCATGTAGGTAAGTGCACCCGCGTCGTGCAATGCCTGCAGAGGACAGAAGAGATTGTTGGATCCCCTGGAACTGGAGTTATGGACAGTTTTTAGCTGCCATGTGGGTGCTGGGATACGAACCTGGGTCTTCTGCAAGAACAGTCAGTGTTCTTAACCGCTGAGCCATCTCTCCAGCCCCAAGAGCCAAGATTTTTATTGGAGAGTTACATGGATGGGCTTGTAACAGCCCATCCATGAAATTGTATTTCTGTTGTGTTGTGTGAGTGTTTGTGCACTTATTTATGGCAGTATAAATTATTAAAACATTCAAGGTACTAAGAATCTCAAGGGGGTCCACAGGAGATTGATGGTAGCTCATAAGTTATCTTTGAGCAAGTTACAAAATGAAGCATCTTCCTCAGAACCCTTTACTGCCGCCTACAAGAGATGTATTGCAATAGCTATGTACAGCCATCCATTAGGATTCAATGTGACCAATGCCAAAGAAGGTGCTTAGGTACCACCTGCAGGGCTCTGAATCCTTGCTCCCAGAGGGGAGGATGCTAGCTCTCAAAGTCACCCTCCTTTCATGTGGACTGGCATGTGGACTCTTCTTGATGTATGTGTCTTCACCAAATGATTTGATCCAGAAGCTGATAAAGTCCGTCATTTATTGAAGACTTTTTTAGTAGCCAAGTATGTAAATGGTTTCCTTTTATTTTCACATTTTTGAGAAGAGTATACCCATTTTCAAATGAGAAAACCAAAGGTAAATAACATGCCCAATGTCACACAGAAAGTGTGGTTCTGAGTAGGATCAACACCATTGAGCTCCAGTGCCTGTATGCTCACGAGGATCTCTTTGGGGATGCCTGCATCTGAGGCCGAAAGATGTTTGCTGGGTTTGGTGCTGTGTTTTGCTGGAGGGTAGTAACATGCTTATGGTGGTACCTGAGGTATTTTAGGTAGTACACAAAGAACATCTTCATGGTTATTAATTTTTCAACTTATGGTTGAAGTAGATGATATAAACATAGCACTACATAGCATAATAATTATATCATGTTTTAGCTGGGATTTCACACTGAGGAAGCTAAGACTCGTGTTCATGCAAATGTTCATAGTTTTATTCATAAGATCCCTAAAAAGGAAATAATTTAAATGTCCTTCAGTAAGTAAATGGTTAAACACAGCATGGTACATTCATACTGTGGGATGCTGCTCAGCCATGAAAAGATATGAACCATTGATTCCAGAATCATGAACAAAAAGTAAATCCTAGAGTTGAGGGCATGACTGTTAGAACATTTGTCCAGCATGTCCAAGGCCCTGGATTCCATCCTCAGCACTGAAAAACAAAACAGAGGGAAACCAAACAAATGCTGAAAGGCTAGAGTGGTGTAGCCTGCATAGATCCATGTAGATAACATCCTGGAAAGGACACAAATCAGGCAACAGAGAACATGTCAGTGCTTGCTGGGGTTAAGAAGATAGGGTAAGTGGGGGATCATGAGTCTATAAAACATGGGATCCTAGCAACGATAGAATGCTCTGTAGCTTGGCTGGATCAATGTCCACACCCTAGTTGTGGTACTGGATCAGATTTTTAAGATGTTACCATTTAGAATCACTGGAGGAAAAAAATAGGAAATTTCCCCCATTTTATTTCTCAAAAATTACTTAAAGAGTGGAGGCTCAGTGAGTGAAAGTATTTGCTGTGTAAGCCTGAGATCTGAGTTTAATCCCAGAATCCATGGTAGAAGGAGAGAATTCATTCCCAAAAGTTGTCCTCTGACCTTTCTGTGAGCCATCACATGCATGAAGCTGCATTCACACATGTACATCATACATGCATATACACACACACAATAAGAAAACAATAAACATACAGTAATTACTTCATTTGAATTTATTATTATTTCCCAGTAAGAAGCTCAAATCCTGGATTTCAAGCATACCATTGCTTTGGATAAGGCTGACAAAAATAAGTTGATTGAGAGAAAATATCAGGGCTATAACCCTGTCAGGGCATGGGTGGTGCTCACTTTTGCACAAGGGTTAATAGACAGTCCATGGTGTCAGGTCATCTGGGCATAAGTTACTCAACTTCTCTAAACTTTAATTTCCTCCTGTGTTAAATAGAGATAACGGTGTCAGAATTAAACTATAGGTGGGCATGGTGGTGCATGCCTTTAATCGCAGCACCAGGAGGCAGAGGCAGGCAAATCTCTGTGAGTTCAAGGCCAGCCTGGTCTATATAGTGAGTTTCAGGTCATTCGGGGCTACAAAGTGAGATTCTTTCTCTCAAAAAATTAAATTACATGCAATCATACAATGAAGATTTAACATATAGAGAACAATCATGGAGACACCCACTAAGAGCACTTTATCTAAATGTTCTGTGTAAGTGAGTAGGCCAGGGGTCCTGGGATCTATGTTCCTTCCTGAACACAGTTGCCAGCTCTCATCACTCATCACTTTAGCCTCACAACTACCAAATCCTACAAAATCAATAAAGAATCATCATCAAAATAAAATTTCAATTACAGTCCTGCATCCTAGCCTTGGTCAGTGAATTTGACCCCTCTGTGCACTAAGTAGTAAAGTGAAGATGGGATTAACATTTTCTTCTTTTGGTCCTATGGGGGGAAGGAAGGGAAGCTGTGGCCAATTGCACTCACTGCAAGTAACATTTTGCAGATGACAAAACACCAGGTTCTTGTTGCTTTGCTTGCCTGGTTTTGTTTTTCCTGGTATTTGATCCTGGCCTTCAGTTTCATGTTTTTAGAAATATATTATTTGTTCACATTTGAATTTGGAGTTTTAAAGATTCATTCATTATTTGGTTTTTTTGTCTATTGTTTTGTGTAGGTGTGGTGTAAGTATGTGATGTGTATGGTGTATGTGAATGTGCACTTATGTGTGCAGGTACACATGCCTGTGCATGCAGGTGCAGAGACCAGAAGAGGATGCTGGTTGTCTTCCTCTATCACTCTCTGCCTTAATCCCCTGAGACAAGGTCTCTTGTATTAGTTTGCTTTCTGGTGCTGTGATGAAACACTGACCAAAACCAACTTGGAGAGGAAAGGATTTATTTGGCTTAACCTCACAGTCCTCCATCAAGTAAACCAAGGCAGGACCTCATGGCAGGAGCTGAAGCAGACACCATGGAGGAGCACTGCTTACTGGCTTGCTTCCCCTGGCTTGCTCAGCCACCTTTCTTATACAGCCCAGGCCCAGGTACCTAGGGATGACACCACCCATAGTGGACTGGGCACTCCTACATCAATTAAAAAAATGCCTCATAGACGTGGCTGCAGGTAAGTCTAATCTGGGAAATTCTTCAGTAGTGACTCCCTCTTCCCAGGTGACTTTTGGTGTGTCAGGTTGACACTGAGCTAACGATGACACTTATTATACTAAAGTTGTTGGTTTTGACTAGGCCAGCTGGTAATCCCCAGTGACTGTCCTGTCTCTGTGCCCGGCTGCCTTATCCTTTTTATATTGGTTCCAGGGATCCCAACTCAGGTCCTTATGCTTGCACAGCAAGCACTTTGTCTCCCTGTCCCTCAGGTTATTCATTTCTTAATGCATCTTTTATTCTGTTTAGATGGCATAGAACTGTGTCTACCAACTTAGCAAAACAGAATGTGTTGGTCCCCAAAGAGGAATCATCGAGCGAAAGTGACTTGGGGTTTCATGAAAACCAGCAAAATCAGAAAAAAAATTTGATGAAGAAAATGAAGACTGCTTTGGGGAAAATGTTGCCCTTCAAGAGCAGAGGCAAACCAGCCAGTGCTCACAGGGAGAGTGTCACCAGACAGAAGGAAGCCCTCCTGGCCAGCACACAGAGCCTGCTTCCTAGGCTTGTCAGGGAGCTCCCGTCTCCCAAGTTATTTACCAAGCCAAGAACAGGAAAGCTTTCACAGAACGGTAACCAAAGGCAATTTAAGTGTCAAGGCCAAAAGGAATGGTTAAAGGGGGATGGATTCTTCCCCATCTGCTGTAGCTGGGTGTGGAATCACATTGGCTTGTCCCTTGGGGTATTGCTATTGGGAAGTGGTAGATTCCTTAGGAGGTGGGGTACTCACCATTGCTATCTGGCATCCCTAACAGAGGCCTTAAAGCACAGAATCTGCTAGATCACAGTCTGGGAACTCTAAAACTTTGAGCCAAAAGAATCTTTTCTCTTTATAAGTTCATTACCTCTGGTATTTTGTTACAGTGACAGAAAGTTAATACACTACTCAAGGTATAGCAATTCTGAGGCACCTGCCTAAAATTTGAAGAATCTCTGGTGCCACCAAGGTCTACTGAGTCAGAGTCTGTACTCTTTCTATATCCCCAATTAACTCATATCCATATATATATATATGGATATACATATATACAATTTGAGAAAAAAAGGATTGGAGTGTCATTAAAGCTCCTCCATGTTCAGTTAAGCAGTTGTCTAGTCATTTTAAACAAACTTTTAATTTAAATGTATATGCACTCATATGCATAAATGTAGGAACATATGTCCACATATGTATTAGAAAATCAAACTGGAATAGGATTTTTTGTTTCATTTCTGGAGGAGATAGCAACACAGCCTTCCAAATGGCTAGTTCCAACAGCAGAGGGGTGTACAGAGAATTAAGTGAATGGAATTTAGAATTGATGAACCATAAGGATGGTTGATTTTTTTCTTTTTCTTTCTTATGTCGACTAGGCTGGCCTTGAACTCACGGAGATCCGCCTGCCTCTGCCTCCTGAGTGCTGGGATTAAAGGCATGAGCCACCACGTCCGGCTGTTTGATTTTCTTTTAGATGCTATTTTTAAAACCTATTTATTCTTATTTATATTCTTTGACAGTTTCATGTGTGCATATAATGTTTGATGATTTTCACTCCCATTATCCTTTCGTCACTGTCCCTCTCCTGCTGAAACCCCTCTTTGCCTCAAGACCACTCTTGCTTTCACAGTAGTGTGAAATGTATGTACGTGTGTGTGTGTGTGTGTGTGTGTGTGTGTGTGTGTGTGTGTCTGAGTTTAATTAAGGTTGCTCATATGAGGTTATGAGAGGGTTTATTTCTTGGAGCATGGACAACTTATCAGAGGTTACACCACTGAAGAAATGACACCCACTCCCCCAGGAACCATTAACTTCCAGTGTTGGGTGGGGGAGTCACGAGCCCTTCCCCCATCAGTGAGGAAATGTTAGTGGACCTAGTCTTGTGTAAGTAACACATAGTTCTTAATCCACTGTGGAAGGACCAATCTTTGCATTGTTTTCTTTCACAATGGAATAAGGCTGTTGTTCGGGATTCTGTGAGTTATGATAATATCACTGATGTTTAACATTCTCTTCTGTAGCTTTTAAAAAATTAAGTGGACTTTATTTTTTTAGAGACGTTTTAAGTTTCCAGGAAAATGCAATTTCTCTCTGTCGCCTTTCCCTTCTCAGCTGTATTTTTCCTTGTTAGCGTCTGCTCTTGGTGTATGCAGTCTGTTTGCTTTATTGATAAGCCAATGTTGATGCCTTTTCAATTAAAGTTCATAGCTTACATTAGGACTCATTCTTTATGTTGCACAGTTCTATGGCATTTGACAAATGTGTAATCATTCTGTCAAGTACCCATGACCATACAGAATAGTTTCATTGCCTCTGTAGTTTTTTTAAATGTGTATTGACTGATATTTTATACGTCTGGTCTGAGTGCTGCGCCTGTGTGTATGCAAGTACACTTGTGTCACACAATGCCCACAGAGGCCAGAAGAGGGAATTGGATTTCCTGGAACTGGAGTGTCAGAAGGTTGTGGGCTACCATGTGGGTGCTGGGAGCTGAACCCAGGTCCTCTGCAAGAGCAGCAGGTGCTCTTAGCCACTGAGCCATCTTTCCAGCCCCCACTGTAACTTACTTTGTTTGTTTGTTTGTTTGTTTTTGTTTGTTTGTTTTGAGACAGGGTCTTCCTGTAGCCCCAGCTGGCCTGAACCCACACCCACTATGTAGAACAGGCTGGCCTAGGTCTCACAGAGATCTGCCTGCCTCTGTCTCCTGAGTGCTGGGATTAAAGGCCTGTGCCATCACACAGCCCCTCTGTAGCTTTTTAAATGTGCCCTTCAGCACAGCCTCAGGAAACATACACAGCCTCACATCCTCAAATGCCCCACAGTGATTAGGTTTAAACCTCCCCTGCCCCCAAAAGAAAAGAAAAACCCTGCTGGCTTCCAGCTGACTGATTGTTCTTCCAAACAAACTCTATCTTGTGGTAAAAATCGCCACTAATGCAAGTATCTAGCATCTAGCAATTAGCTGGTATGAATTGACCTGTATATTTCTGTGGCAAATGACGAAGAGAAGCCAGGCATGGTAATAGTACATGTCAAATCCTAGCACACAGAAGAAAGAGACAGGAGGATCAGGGTTCAGAGTCACAACAGCTACATATGGGAGTTTTAGGGGCCAGCCTGGGCTCATAAAAAAACAACAAATTATAATATTTAAATATCAAAGAAAATTTGTCTCTATACTGCTGCAAGAGTCCATCAAGAAACAAAGGACTGTGTTTCTCCTAATTCATGCACTGCTCCTGTCATCTTGCTTAGAATAATAAAACTTTCCAATTGTATTTCGCCAAAAAATAGTCCATCATTTAGGCGTAGCTTAAGCATTATTTCCCTGTCTTTGCTGCAGCCCAGAGACAATTGCTCTTCTCTATTGAACTCTAGAATATTTAAAATATACTTAATAAAAAGTACTTGCTAAATGCCCAATACATACCTCTCACAGAATTAGAGGTCAAGTAGCAAAGAAAATCAGCACAGTCCTTCCTTTCACGTGGTTATAGCATGGGGGACTTTCAACACTTCTACAGATAATTGTATTTGATGCAAGAGTATTATATTAGTCCAGGGTGTGCTATGAAAACACCTGATTGGATGCTGTAAAGGGCTTCAACAAATACTCAGCACATATTCAAATTTCACTATCACTGAAATATAAAACAGGCATAAACAAGAAATGAAAGAAATCTAGGTGGAAAGCACATTGGAGTAGAGAGAGCCAGAGAGGCTGTCTCAGTAAGTGGTGAGGATGTGGTAGGCCACATTAAGAAGTCTGAACTGTCTCTTAAGCATGATAAGAAACCATAGAATACTTTCAAGCTGAAGGTTTCTGTGCTTTGACTTGCATTTTCAAAGGTAATTGGAGACTACAGAACAAGGCCTGAGCTGACACAGGGAAAACAGTAATTACGGTCAGGTGATATTAGAATGCACTTTCCATGCCACTGGAAGTAGGAGCAAAGGGAAGAAGCAGTCAGAGGGAGAAATGATAAGATTTTAGGTGGAGATGGGCCGCAGAAGCAGAAGTGATTAAAAGTTTCCTGATTATGCACCTTCCTCAAGCTGGAAACAGTATTCACTGACATCAGGAGCAATGGATCTAGATCATAAGTCACGAGTTCTATTAGACATTGAGTTGAAGACCCTAAAACATAGCTAAGTGGGAGTTTCAAGTAGATTGCGTTGTTTACTGAGGTCCTAGGATCCTAGGCAAAGTCCTTATTGGGGACAAGATGAATTTAGGAGCTCCACACAGCGTGAAATGACTCTGAACCATAGTTAATGGCAAATGTTTTTCCCTGTGCCATCAGTTCTTTAGAATACGTAGGAAAAAGTTTCAAGCAGGGCGTGGTGGCTCACACCTGTAATCCCAGTTCTCTGAAGACTGAAGTAGGAGGATCCTCATGAGCTCAAGGCTAGCCTGAGCTACAAAGTAAATTCCAAGTCATCCTGGTGAGATACTTCCTCCCAGCCTGGGATACAAAGTAAATTTCAGGTCAGTCTGGTAAAATAAAACACTGCCTCTATCAATCAATCTTTTTAAAAAAGAAAATAGGTTTCATTTCATCGCACAACCCCCTTTTTCATAAAAAGAGAGCAAACTCCAGTTCAATGGTTTCTATAAAAAATAATATGCTTAGCCGGGCCTGGTGGCGCACGCCTTTAATCCCAGCACTTGGGAGGCAGAGGCAGGCGGATCTTTGTGAGTTCGAGGCCAGCCTGGTCTGCATAGTGAGTTCCAGGACAGCTGGGGCTACAGGGAGACCCTGTCTCGAAAAGACAAAAAAAAATAATAATAATATGCTTTGTGTGTACATGTGTATGAATGTTTGTGTTTGTGTTTGGTCAGTGGAGTCCCAGAGATCACCTTTGGGGCCTCTCTGGCTTTTTCACAAGAGCACCAGGGATTGAACTCAGGTCCTCATACTTTACAGACTGAGCTCTCTCTCTCTAACCCTTGATTTTTTTTATCCACATACATTTTAATGTCTATTTATAATATTAATTTTCAATTTAGGGAAGCATTTTTATTGTGTTTTGTTTTGCCAACCAAGAAAAGAATCCATTTTTTCTGTAGCTAGCATGTAATGAAATGGGTTTCATTGTGACATTTTCATATATATAGACACACACACATTATATATATACTTTGTTCTTATTCACCCCCTCACCATCTTCCCCATGCATGCTCATGACTTCTAACTTGTTCCTTTCCTCTCCCCAAATAGTTCCTCCTCTGTTTCATGGTGGACTGTGTTACCCACTTTGGTTCTTGCTTCCCCCTCCTTTAGACCTCTTCCTCCCCCTCAGTCATAGTCCTCTTTCTCCTTTCCAACATATATGTTTATATATAAATTTCAATCTACATTTAGCACAAGAGAAAACATGCAATATTTGTCTTTCTGAATCTGGCTTATTTCACTTACTGTAATGATTTCCAGTTTCATCCATTTTTCTGTGAATATCATAATTTCATTCTTCCTTATGACTGAATAAAACTCCACTGTGTGTATGTACCACATTTGCTTTATTCATCCATCTGTTGGTGGCCCTCTAGGCTGCCTCCATATCTTGGCTATTCTGAATACTGCAACACAGACA